TTATATAGAGAATATGACTAGAGTAAGATAGTAATATAATGACATAAGTAATTATACTAGATATATATATATATATATTCAGAGAAGAGCAGAGAGATCGAAGAATGATATAATGATGAAGATATAAAGGTATATAGTAATAGTTTATACTAAGTATAGAAATGAAATATATAGTGAGAGAGAATATACTGAGAAAGATAGACCAGAATATATATTATAATATATAGATATAAACTATAATATGGATATATATTATTAAAATTGCATATTTGCTTACATTTCAAATGTTTGTTCACCCACTCATATAATTTGTTATCGTATATATTTAAAGTCTATGTTTTCCCATCTCACTAACACATATATCCAGCATTACAAGGTATCTCAACATAGGAGACCCAATCCATAATGATGAAAGCCCTAGTTGGCAACTTCCAAGCCTGATCATCGTCATTCATTGCAAATATTGAATGTTTTTTCTTAGTTTCTATTTCGAGGATTTTTACTATTGTTGTTACTGAACCATTTTCAAAAGAAAAAAAAAATGCATATTGCACACACTTTTGGGCTCAAAAAGAGGGTGGTATTTATGATGTCACCTCGTTTAGCTAATCTATTTTTTTACATTCAGAGATAAAGATATTCCATTATTAATACAGCATATTTACCTTCATTTAAGATTTGTGTTTCTCCTCCCTCTCTCTTTCCCCTTCTCTTTCTCCTTCCTTCATCCTGTTGAGACGTAAAATATCTTTTTCAATAAACATACCAAAGTTAAAAAAAAAAAAAACTAATAAAATAAAATAATACACAGGGCAGTGTACAGCGTCCTCACATCGGGCTGTGGAGGTGACCTGAGTTCGATGTCTGGAGAGTTGGCCACGCCCCACTATCCTCAGCCTTACCCAAGCCCCATCGAGTGTGAGTGGAACGTCAAAGTCGGCCCAGGTAAGTAGGGGTAGGTTGGTGTTGTGTGTGTGGGGGGGGGGTGTAGAGGATGTGTGTGAGGAGGGGTGTAAAGGTATGTGTGTGGGGGCTGTGAAAGGTATGTGTGTGGGGGAGGGGTGTAAAGTATGTGTGTGGGGAGGGGTGTGTGTGTGGGGAGAGGGATGTGTGTGAGGGAGGGGTGTAAAGGTATATGTGTGTGGGGGGGGGTGTAGAGGGATGTGTGTGAGGGGGTGTAGAGGGATGTGTGTGGGGGAAGGGTGTGTAGAGGGATGTGTGTGGGGAGGGGGTGTAGAGGTATGTGTGTGTGGGGGGGTGTAGGGATGTGTGAGGGAGAGGGGGTGTAAAGGTGTGTGGGGGGGGGTGAGAGGGATGTGTGTGGGGAGGGGTGTAAAGTTATGTGTGTGGGGGAGGGGGTGTAAAGGTATGGTGTGTGGTGGGAGGGGTGTAGAGGGATGTGTGTAGGGGGGGGTGTAAGGGATGTGTGTGAGGGAGGGGTGTAAAGGTATGTGTGTGGGGGGGGTGTAGAGGGATGTGTGTGAGGGAGGGGGTGTAGAGGGATGTGTGTGGGAGGGTGTAGTGTGTGGGGGGGGGGAGGGGGTGTAAAGGTATGTGTGTGTGGGGGGGGCTGTAGAGGGATGTGAGGGAGGGGGTGTGGGATGTGTGTGGGGGAGGGGTGTAGGTATGTGTGTGAAGGAGGGGGGGGTGTAAAGGTATGTGTGTGGGGGGCTGTAAAGGTATGTGTGTGTGTGTGGGGGGTGTAAAGGGATGTGTGTGAGGAGGGTGTGTAAAGGTATGTGTGTGTGGGGGGGGGGGTGTAGAGGGATGTGTGTGAGGGGGCTGTAAATGTATGTGTGAGGGAGGGGGTGGAGAGGGATGTGTGTGAGGGAGGGGGTGTAAAGGTATGTGTGTGGGGGGTGTAAGTGTGGGGGGGGTGTGTAGAGGAAGTGTGGAGGAGGGGTGTAAAGGTATGTGTTGTGGGGGGAGGGATGTAAAGGGGTGTGTGGGGAGGGGGGTGTAGAGGATGGTGTGAGAGGGGTGTTAGAGGGATGTGTGTGGGAGGGGGGTGTAGAGGGATTGTGGGGGGGGGGTGCACGTTTTTCTTTATGTGTATGTGTGTTTGTTAAAGTATTTTGACCTGCCGAATCTCACATCCATATAAAAGCCTCGCTCACACACTTCGAACGAAGCAAAACCCAGTCAGCATCTCTAAGCCAATCTAACCCCTTCCTCCCCCGGCAGGCAACCAAGTCCAACTCAACTTCTTGGAATTCGACCTCGAGAACAGTCAAGGATGCAACTCAGACTACGTCGAGGTGCACGAGAGGGATCCTGCAGGACCCTTGCTACTCCACAACTGCTCCACCGAACTCCCGGACTCCATCACCGCCCACGACTCCCTCTGGATCAAGTTCCGGTCGGATGAGACGGGCGTGGGGGCCAAGGGCTTCCTCGCCTCATATAGCCTGGGTGAGGAACCGGGGGAGAGAGGGTGGGGAGGAGGAGAGAGAGGTGGAAGAGGAGAGAGGAGAGGGAAGGAGGGAGGGAGAGAGAGGTTGGGAAGGAGGGAGGAGAGAGAGGTGGGAAGGAGGAGGGAGAGAGAGGTGGAGAGGAGGGAGGATGGGAGGAGGGAGGGAGAGAGTGGAAGGAGGAGGGAGAAGAGAGAGGGTGGGAAGGAGGGAGAGAGAGAGGGGGTGGGAGGAGGAGGGAGAGAGAGGTGGAGAGAGAGATAAGAGAGACAGTGAGAGAGAGAGAGAGAGAATAAGAGAGGCAGTGAGAGAGAGAGAGAGAGAGAATAAGAGAGGCAAGTGAGTAAGAGAGAGGAGAGAGAGAGAGAATAGAGATGAAGAGAGAGAATAAGAGAGGCAGTGAGAGAGAGAATAAGAGAGACAGTGAGAGAGAGAGAGAGAGAGAATAAGAGAGACAGTGAGAGAGAGAATAAGAGAGACAGTGAGAGAATAAGAGAGGGAGAGGGAGAAAGAGAGAGATGGAGAAATAGAGAGAGATGTAGAAACAGAAACAGACAGACAGAACCAAGCAGAGCCACACAGACATACAAACAGAGCCTGAATCAGAGAGAGACAAAGAAACAGAGAAACACAACAGAAACAGTGTGACATTGCGAGAGAAAAGATAAATCAGACACCACGTACACAATACTGACTGCATCTCCCCCCTCCTCAGTGCATGCTGTGACCAACCTAAGGGACAGCGGAGAGGTCGTGTCCCCTATGTACCCTCACGTGTACAGGGGCGAGGACATTACCTGGCAGATAAGGGTGCACTGGAGAAAGGTCGTCCGCATTACCTTCTTAGATATGGACATTGAAGGCAACCCCGTCGACGACACTTGCATCTCCTCTGTGCAGGTCAGAGTCAGTGGTTCTTTTTAGACTGCTGTGGTGATTTTGTTTTCAGTTTGTAGAGTTTTGAAACCTGTATATGTATGTATGT